TAATTCACTTGGTTTCTCGCGAGTGTAGTTCTGCTTCAGATATACCATAAGTGGTGGTCGGTACGAATTTGTTTTGGAGTCACCGGACGTACCACTGAGATGGCTTAGAGATCAGGCTCTTTCAAAGCGTATCGATGACGAAGGTCCGGATATTATCAGTGACTGTTCGGAAAGTAAGTATTTCCACTAAGTGGTTTTAGAGAAGAATGTTGTATTTTTCTATTTTCCTAGCTTCTTCCGCCCTTTTTCTCTATTTTTAGCTTTGCTGATAGGCAATTTTGTTACATTATGAATAGATAATATGTATGCACAACTGGTGCTTTTTTGTGCAGTTTGTTGCAAGTTACTTCATATATTCTTTGACTATACGTTCAGATGCCTTCAGATGAGTCAGAAAAGCAGTGTTCGGTCTCCCTGAATGTTTTTGCTTGTTAGCCTAAACGATATTATGCTGCGCTTATGCAGCAAAACTTTTTTTTTTTAAATGCCTTATTTCCAATGTGGGAGCATTAAATTATGTTAATTCATTTCAGTGCGAGAATACGTATTGGAAACAATTGACCAGGAAGGTGTTCCACTGAATCTCGACATGCCAATATGCAGCACCGGATGCTCGGAATTTCTCCTTCTTCGCATTAATAGTTTGTTTTGCCTCATTAACATTACTGTAAAATGTTATTATTTGATTATCCGGGAGGGTTTGATGGGAGCCTGTGAGGTTGAGATATTTCAGGCTCACGTGGCGACTTCTCACTATCGCCATATCGAACAGTGACCGAGTGCAGCAAACAGATGTCAAAGGCATCCACAAATGCACCGTCTGCGGATCGTCCCGAACCTCTTGGTATGACTCACTTTTCATTATCAACTTGTGATTAATGATTTTCTTTGCAATATCACTGCTGTATTTTTTGGAGATATACTCTTGGAACGGTATTTTGTTTGTGTATTTCATTGTCGTGCTCCTTCGATAAGTTGACAACTTTTCCATTCTTCTCAATTCTGAGTTCCAAGAGTTAGAGTAACACCATGTGCTTCTTTTAAATGGATATTCCCAATTCATTTGACCTTCCTCGTTAAGAGACATATACATAACGTAAATTTGCACTAGTATACGCGAAATCTGTGATATCGTAACGAAAATTTTTTATCGGTAATGGCGTTTTAACTGCTAGGAAAAGTTAAGATTTTTCCAAAATTAGTTGAATTTCTGTTAGTTAAATACATATTTTTCATTGTTGTGAGGTTTGCATTTGGAGGAGGAGAGGAAAGGGTGTTACTTTTTAACTTACTTTTGTCACATCTAGTTTACTTAAGCTTGTGAACTGCTTCTTCATGTAAGCCTGCAACAGGAGCTTGTGATGCAAATACTGTCTTTGCCACGTCATGATTTTTAAATGTTCAGGTCGTGGAGTGCGTGGCGTGGCGGAGGCCACTCTTTCTTTGCCGTCGTTGAGTTATACGGATTTTGCGAGCACTGCGATGGCTAATGTCTACTTAGTGGAAAGAGTGCACCGATATATGCCGAATTCGAGTGTCTCCTTAAGTATCAATTTTATGCGTATTTTCTTTCTTCCACTTACGCGTTTTTTGCTCCAAACAACTCGTTTTGCCGAGGTAATTTTTTATGACCTAGGAAAAAGTGTGGTGCTTTCCGATTGAGGTGTTTTGCGAAAGTTGAAATTTTTACTTTCAACTTCTTCCATATTTAACATCTGTGCTGTTTGCAAGGATAGAATGACAGAAGTACGCCAGTTAGCTATAAAGCTGAAGTTTAGAAAACCACGTTGCGGAAAGAGTTGTAGGGGATACTTCGTATGTAGGCCTTATGTTGATCAGTGTGCAGATTACGTGATTATATGAGATCGAATAGAAACTTTCGTAAGAAAGGATATCTTGTTATAACGCTTTGCGTTTCTGCCTCATTGCCTATGCATGGTTTATATACCCCTCAGCAATGTTGCAGCTATCGGGGCTGATGGTTTGGAGATAGCTCCGGCTCAGTCGGATCGCTCCAAGAAGCGCAGCTCACTTTTTGTGCAGTCACCACAGAAAGCCTTCACTGTCAGCTGGAATCGCATTGGTGGCATAGAAATTACAGAACGCACACACTGTTCGTCTCATTTTTTTTTTCCCAGCACAAAAACTCTGAAAATATAATCGCTCTGCTTCTGCAGTGCTTGCACTGGACTTTTTGGCTCTTTACTGTAGCAGCTATTTCGGACCGTTTGTATTTTTCAAAAATAGCTGTAATATGCTCAAAAGACAGTGAGTACTGACTGGAAAGATGCAGATCAGAATCGAAAGCCCCGTTATTTTATGCATGGCCAGTTGAAAGGTCTTACCAACATCACCAGAGTGGGTTCCACACTGGCGATGTTGGTAAGATATTAATTTGGTCTTTTTTGAAGCTTTCGAGCCCTTGAATTCTGCCTGGGACACATCGTTTATGTTACGAGGACGACGAGGAACGACGTTACGATGACGACGATGCTAGTACGAGGAGTTTCAGACGAGAGGTGGACGAATGCTGTTGTACTGTGGCGCGTAGTGGACAGATTGGAGTCAACACTTTATTAACACGAAGACTAGACTACAAGTGATTCGTTGGGACGATTGAAATTAAGTCGGGCGCTTGCAGTGACAACCGCTGCGGACAAGGTGCCGATACTGGATTGCAGCACCACACAGCTGCACTGGACCTCCGGACGCAAAACGTAGGGCACACTGGATACCAGCGATCCGGAATACTGAAGACACGGGAAGGTGACGTTGAACACTGGGAGAGTAGACGACGACGACGACACGGAAGACGCACCCGACGATAACGTTGAACATACACTCTACTTACAAGATCTTACATCTTACAACATACAACATCTTATAACAAATTCACCAGCTTAAATACTCATCACAAAGGGCGGGACAGATCACGGGTCAAATTGCTGCGCGTTTCTGGGTTGCTCCTTACTTCTGCGCGCCATCTTTTGCTCTTTCTACATTTATATTGCCAGAGCTTTTTTCAAAAAATCTCCTCTAAGTTCGTCCACTACATCAAAAAAAGTTGTTAAATTTAAAGGGCGTGTACTTGTACGTTTTAAATATCCTTATTTTATTACCCCGTTTTACTGTTTCGAAGGCCTTCGTTTTTGTAGGCGATAAGTATGTTTAGAGTAACCGTATTTAAAAGAGAAAGTAATCCACAAACACAAATGAAGAAAGGGAAAAATAATTAATTATTTTATAATTAGAAGAAATGTTTCGATCCATTAAGTCGTATACATTTCTTACCGTATATACGC